AGCGCGCTTCCGATGTCTCCAGTGTTGGCCTCACTTCCAGGTAATCGGCCAACCATTTCAGGTTACAATCGCATATGAATGGGTTGCGGCCCAAATGACTACCATAAACACATCAAACACATAAACATCAATATTGCCATATTGTCAACATGTAATGTTACGAAGTTCTATACATACAGTGTTTGTATATTAGTTAGCGTTGCAAACACTCCTTCAGCTAATGATTGGATGTTATTGTCATAAAGAGATCTGAAAAGACATAACAAAGCTATAAACACTTATTATGTCATAAGTTGTGGCATATATTGTGTCATAAAAATCATTCAATAACTCACAATAAGTTAAGATTCCGTAAGTCAGAGAATGCTTCGCTCCGAATACACGTAATCCGATTAGTGTTGAGTAAACTATACATTCAATCATTGTCTGTAATTCACGTAATTATCATTAATTGCACTCAACTTACAGGACTTGTAGAGAAGAGAGTCCTTTAAATACCCCTTCGGGTAAATCCTTTATTTGATTACCAAATAAAAATCTAATCAAAAGTATAGTTAATTTAATCATTAATTATTTCCCATTTGATGACAATAACTGACAATGAATTGAGAGATTTAAGTCCAGAGAAAGCGTTGGAAGAAATTTTGGTGATATTATTCTTGGATATGTCACTAATGAAAACAAAGTGATTATTAAACAATCATCATGGTCAATTGACAATCATAAATGATCATATTGCAAATTGCAATATATGTCAAGTTGGACTTACATTCTGGTTAATCGTTTGAATGGTGTGAATGCTTTGTGAGGCACATCCGTCAACATATTCTGCTCCAGACGTCTGCAATCAATACAATCAATACACGCATCAAAACATTGTCCACTCATACAAGTGGTGATACTCACAGACACTCCACTTCTTGTGGTATGTTTGGAGGTATTTGTGTTAACCCGCGATGAGAGCAGTCGACAGTCACACCATTGCAGTCACACTCAACGGGACACTGAGACATAGATGTGCCGAAATCACCATCTGATGCCATCACTGATGCCATCACTGATGCCACCACTACCACCATCAGCAGCACTGCCATCATCTCAGACGAGGCAGACATTACAACTCAATGCAAACACAATGAGAGCACAACTCTATTCAATACATCAAAACATACTATCATTTGATTGAAAACAAGTTCATCACAACTTTGTATACACAGAACAGAGCAGAACAGAGCAGAACAGAGCAGAACAGAGCGCACACTGTCTGTACACTGAATGAGCGGACACTCACTCCACAAACCGTTATATACTATGCCATACATTCTCGTCATAACTAGTCTCTCTTTTTACCGGGAATTTGCCCAATCCAGCAATATTATCACAGTACTAGGAGATCATATACCAGGGTGATACATAAGTGATAAATATAGTGCTTTTATTTTGATCACATTTTGGCATATATTGACAAAATTGACCAAGTTTATTTTATTTTTGTAAAACAAGACCTAAAACTTTAGAAATATAGCCTTTGAGTGGAATTTTGTTAAAATGCTGTATAAATACTAAATACTTGCACAAAGTTAGTATAATATGTAATAGTCCTGGTATTGAAGTGAATACGGTAAATAAATGTTTATGACAGGGATTAGCTACGATATGTTTTAATTAGACGTAGGTTTTTAATTGTCATTTAATATGATATATCATTCACTGGCAAATCTAATATAATGTAGATAGCATTTTGCTATGCTTTGCATTTCATAATATTACCGAATACAATACATTTCAATATGATTAACATAAATAATTATTAAGTCAAAATGCAAATATAATTCTTTATATTTCCCGATTTTAAACATTTTACTATTAATACCGATTCCCGACAGAACAACACTACTCACAAAAGTCACAATCACTGACATCTGTTGAATCTGTCAGCAAATTCTCTCAACCAATCGTTTCCTTTTAAATCACCACAAAAGTAACACATCATTTATGGCTAGATGTTACATATCACAATAAAGTACAGCTACGATATTAATATTATAAAATAAATCAGTGTACAAAACAGTTGTAATCAAATATAAGGAAATCTATTCTAATGGTTAACATTACCGTATTAAGACGCTTATAGTTGCATTAAATTATAAGTGAATTTCAAAAAGTTTGCATTTTACAAAAACTTCCGCAATTATATGAGTATGCATGAACAACACTCTAACTTAGTGCTCAAACAGCTCAAACTCTAACTCTTACGACCGTATGCAAAGAATCCGCTCTCACTCAATCTCCAAAAACAGGTTTAAGAGTTAGAGTTTGAGTTGGAGCTCAATTTTGTATTCATGAAATAATCTTAAAAAGTAGTGACTCTATTTTGCGCACATTGTAAGCGCAGTTGTTATTGGCTAAAGTTTGTGAACTATGACAACAGTGCTTGGGTCCGGAACCCTGTTTGACAGGTTGCGTTACTATCCACTGTACTATCTGTTAATGTTTTGCTAATAAGACAACATTACAGGGTAAAGTTTGATAATTCCTCGACTCAAAAACATTGAGTTCTAAGTTAGAGATTGAGTGGCTATTTTAAAAAGTGGTGTTTATGAATACAAAAATGCTCTTTTTGATGAGATAGAGCAAGAATGGGAGTGAGAGTTTTGTTCATGCATACGGCTCTTAAACCTGTTTTTGGAGATTGAGTGAGAGCGGATTCCTTGCATACGGGTGTATAATTGCACCCCTTGTACTGTATATAATGTATTTAAATTGAGTGCATATTAGTGTAATGATAATAGCGAACCATTAACTTTAAAATGGTTTAGAAACTTAAATTGTCATAGTGTGTATAGTTGATAAGCCTTACTGTTGTGCTACCATTTTATTGCATACTGTGAATCTGAATCTGGTTAACCTAAAAAGAAATTGAACATCAACATAATACTTTAAGGAACAACAATTATTTGTTATACAATAACTTTGTAATCGGGAAATACTGTAATAACTTACAATTTGTATTGCAAAAGACCGACAATTCATAAATATAGGACACTATCTGTATATGTTGTACCCCTCGCTGTCTAGTGTTTCACATGTCTGTGACGTTCACTGCATAATATGTAGTACCAAATGGTATCCCCCCTCACAATAATGTCACGTCATTTGAGAACAGTTTATTGGTTAATATAGAAACACACTTTGCATTGACTGTGAAGTGAATTTGTATTCATATTATTATTAATATTAATTTAGTTATTATTAAATTGTATGAATGATTAACTAATTGCTGTAATTATAGTGTAATATTAGGTGCATTGCATTGAATGGAAATGTTTGGCCAAAGCTATACATTGTTTCTCATATTTGTGTCCATCGGTTGTGTATTGAGTGGCAGTGAAGACACATCACATGTGGTGTCGAGTGATTCGCCGACTGATGGCCACGACATGAGTGATGGCATAGATGTGAGTGACGGCAGTGACGGCAGTGAGGGAAGCGGTGCGAGTGATGTGTCTGTGGATCAGTCCATACTATACTCCACTCCAAACATTGATAACTACTATATCTACGAACACTTCGACGACTCCGACGACTTCGAGAACCGATGGATCCGTTCCGAGACGAGTAAATCGGATTCACAAGAGTTGAAATATGATGGCCAGTGGGCTCTCACGCCCACCACTACAGCCCTTAAAGGTATGGCACAACACGCGAGTCAACATTCATATGACATCTAAATTTAGATGTTTTGGCTAACATTCAAACTTCAATTACAGTTATATTTTAGTAGCAATTGTACGGCTATTGTACAGCTATTGTACAGTTAATGTATAGTTAATAGTGAGACAATTACACGATATGACACATTATTGTTTTAATTAAGAAATTATCATTTATTTACAATTATACTGAGTTACAGTTACCGGTAATTGAATTTATATCAATTGTTAGTACACTTTAACGTTTGAAATGCTAATTGACTCTTAATTAACTTTAAACATAAATCTCTATACCTTTGTATTAATTGTCTATTTAATTGAATTCGATATATTATATATTGAATTAGTAAATGTGATAATCACTGATTGATTGGTAAATAATGTTTTTTCATAAACTATAGGCGATTCGTGTCTTATAGTGAAGAGCAGAGCCAAACATCACGCGATTAGCGCTAAATTGGATAAAGTATTTAAATTTAATGCCAAACCACTGGTACTTCAATACGAGGTCTGCACAACACTATTGACTGCACTAAGCGTTAACTTAATAGAAATGGTTGACAAACTTTAGGTGCAATTCCGTAATGGCCAGGAATGTGGCGGCGCTTACCTCAAGCTGTTGTCCTCTCCGAGCGGTGACCTCAAGAAACTGAACGACAAGAGCCAGTATTCACTGATGTTCGGACCCGACAAGTGTGGCAATGATATGAAACTACACCTCATTTTTCAACACAAGAACCCCAAGAATGGATCACTGAATGAAAAGCATTGGAAACTCACCAGTAATGTCAATAAGATTGATGAGGTAATTGACCAATTGACCCTGTACTGTACTGTACTGTATGTAATGGATTATGATTATGCGTTGGAACAGGTGTTTAAAGACAATCGCTGGCATTTGATTCGTCTTGAGATCAATACTGACAACACATTTGAAGTGACTTTAGATAAGAGTTCTGTTGGGAAGGGATCCTTATTGGAAGACTTCAACCCACCTGTAAATCCGCCCAAATTTATTGACGATCCCAACGATAGTAAACCTGAAGACTGGGACGAAAGGGAGAAGATAGCAGATCCCGACGCAGGTATGGCTCCATTGATACTAATTGAATCGAGGTATTGGTATTGGTATAACTGATTTCATGAATTGATTTGAATGCCAGTCAAACCTGACGATTGGGATGAGAGTGAACCGCGAAAGATAGCCGATCCTAAAGCCACTAAACCAGACGATTGGGCTGAAGACGAACCCGAAATGATTGCTGATTCTGAAGCTAAACAGCCCTCTGATTGGGACACAGAAATGGATGGCGAATGGGAGGCACCACTTATTGCTAACCCTCGTTGCGCTCAGTTATCGGGATGTGGCAAATGGTCGGCCCCTCTCATTGATAATGATA